AAAAAAAAAAAAAAAAAAAAAAAATGCTGGCGGCACCAGCCAAGAGGAGGCCTCTGGACCAAAAACGTTGGCGGCCCGGGCACGAGCCAAGAGCAAGCCTGCGCCGGTTCGTATTTTTGTCGCGCAGGGCGTTTCCAATGTAGAAAACAGTGTGCCTCTGAAGTACTGGTTGTTTGCCCATGATGTCCATCTGCCACGTGTGGCACGCCTCTAACCCATCATCATCACCATCCACGCCCCTTCGTGATTGATGCAACAGCGGCCTGTCATACATTTCAGCGGGTGCCTTTGCCATAGGTCACTATTCTGCGAAATCAACGACGTACTACTACATGCAACGTTGCGCACGCAATCCAACATGCAGCAAACATCAACCTGCATGTAGTAGTACGTCGTAGATTTCGGATGTCGGACGCTTGAACATGCAAACCATCGGTCACTGTTCCCCGAAACACAAGGCACCGCCTGATCGTGAAATTGTATACAAGTTATCTTCCCAGTCTGATGGTGCATGGTATTCGATTCGTAGGAGGATGAAGCGATGGTCGTAGGGTCGGTCGATGGAAGACATAGGAGATGGCGGACTCTACGGCCATAGCTTCGTCCTATGGATCTCGCCCTTCCCAATCGCGCTTGCGTGGCGTACCGGTCATCATCGCCGGCCTCGCTCACCAGTCACCAAACGTCCAAAAAGAGAATGAATCTTCCGCTAGGACATGGAAAGATACCCCGCCATAATTTTATAATTTTTGTCTCTTGTGCACGAGGTGAGTTGTGGAGCGAGGCCCCTATACTGACACACGTTTGCATGGCATATCTCACATCTCAAGAATACCTTCCACCCCCGAACACAACACCTGGTGATGTCCTTCGGGACATCCGTTAAAATTGGAACGATACAGACATAGATACAATGACCAGCCGTCGTGTTGGGGGAAGAAGGGTAGAACGCGTGCAACATGCACCTCGCATTTCAGAAAATACTCCTCCGTTCTCCTAGTGCCAGATGGCATATGGCGCCAGCACGCCTAACGTAGTCCTTCGCTCACCATTTCTTCTTCCCCAGTAACTAGGCCACACTCACAGTAGGACTTTCCTGGACGTATCTGACCGGAATTGCACATTGCGGAGGATGCACCTGGCAGCACTTTACGTCCAGAGCTCAGTCCAAAAAGTCCTACTACGAGTATGCTCTCCGTATCCTCGGGCGCAACTGCCGCTGACGTGAGCTCATCTTGTCTCCTGCTCCCGTGAGCGCATCGACTCCTCTATGCGACCCAGTCTATCCACAACGAACCCCATCTGCGGTCGCCGTCGGGGGCTGGTTCTGATGCACTCCACTGCAAGATCCATCACTCCGCAAACGCTAGTCCAGTCCACGGGCCCAAGAGTCGCCAGCCGTCCATCTGCAATCTCTCGGATCCGCTCAGTGTGCACGGCAGCTTCCATCGTCGTCCTGCGGACGACTGTCACTCTTGCTGCGGAGGTTCTCAGCGGCTTTTCGTCGTCGTACTCGTCGTCCTCAGAAGAGATCACTTCCTCTCCATGGAGCTTTCGCTTTGCCCAGTAAGCCAGAGTGCGGGGACCTGACTCCCATTCCTCCTCCTCCTCCTCCTCCTCCTCCTCCTCCCCCTCAGCCTCTGCCTCCACCGGCTCCGTCGATTTCATGTCCCCTTCGTTCCCCTCCCTCGCTTCCTCCTCTTTCTCCTCCTCTTGCTTTCCCTGGCGTTGGCGGCGAGGCGAAGACATGAACGCCTGCCGACCCGTGATTAGCTCCAGGAGCACCACCCCGAACGCGTACACGTCGTTCTTGGCCGTCAGCCTGCACGAGCTGTAGTACTCCGGGGCCATGTACCCGAAGGTCCCCGCCACGTGGTACGTGTCCACTGTTTCTGCCGCCGGCTGCGCGCCGAAAACGCTCTGCCCGACCTTCGCCAGCCCGAAGTCGGACAGGTAAGCCCTGATCGAGGTCCAATCCCCCTCGCCGTGATCCTCCAGCAACACGTTTTTGGTCTTGACATCCCGGTGGACGATGGGAGGGTCCACCTGCTCGTGCAGGTATTGCAGAGCGCTTGCGATCTGTCCAGCGATGGACAGCCGGGTCTTCCAGTCCAACGGTGGCTTCCGCCGGGCGCACACGCTGCCATCAGAGATGCTGTCCGTTGTTGGCACGACATCTTGTTCCCTATTGCCGCGCCCAGCCGATCGCAGGCGCTCGTGGAGCGTGCCTCCCTCCACGAACGGGTAGATGAGAAACGACTTCCCCTTCTCCGCACAGTACCCCACAATGGAACAGATCTGGCTATGGCGGAGTGATCCGAGCACGTCCAGCTCGGCTTGGAACTGGCGGAACCTCGCCGCTTCCAAGAAGTCCGCATCCTTCATCATCTTGATGGCCACCACCTGGCCGTCGCTGAGCACGCCCTTGTACACCTCCGCAGCACCTCCCGTTCCCACAACGCGCTCCGGGCTGAACTGCTCGCACGCTCTGCTGATCTCCTCCAGGGAGTACCTCTTCAACCCCGAAGTCGGCCGCAGGATAAAAGACAACCTTTTCACCACTGCCGCGCCGATCCCCGAGCTGTCCTCGCTCCACGCTGAGGTCGCGCTTGCCCACGTGGATCCCGACCCCTTCGTCTCCTTCGACGAATCAGCGACGATAGGCGACTCGCGTAGACTGCTTTTCCGCCTGTATTTGAATGGTCCTCTTCGCCGTCGGATAACAACGATGGCAATCAACACAGATAACGCCACAAGCAGCAGCACGACGCCGGCGCTTGCCATGACGATTACACGTGTGTTGTTCTCAGGCGAGGGTGAGACCGGCCGCTTAGCCCGTGGGGAAGCGGGCCCCCCGCCGCAAGGACCCAGAGCCGATCTATTAATCCCTAGCTCCACAACATCCCCCCCCCTAAACAAGTACAACGTGTCGCTCTCAGGCGAGAGAGCCATCGCCTTATATAAATAGCCGTAATACATGTTAGCGATCGTGGTCACGTTCACCGCCTTCCCCCAGCTACTACTCAACCGAATCATTGACAATCGGTTATCTTCCCCAAAGCGAGGTGATATGATGGCCTGTTCCAAGACGAACACGTGGCAGCCATCGTGAGTCACAGCCAAGGCTTGGGGTGCCCTGAAGGCTGCTTGCGAGGGAGGGCCGTCCTGCCGCGCTTCCAGACCTCCGGCAATGCGATCCACAGCGCCTGTTCTAGTCCACAGCCGTCGAATCATGTTATAGTCCCGATCGACGAAGTAAACCTTTTCCCCGTCGGGGGAGATTGCGGACTCGTCCAAAATGGCATGACCGAATAGCACATCGCGGGGGTTGTCGGTGCCGCCGGAATTGGACTCCTTCGCGCCGAGCCAGTGCTCCAGAGCGGAGTATCCTTCCCCTCCCGCTCCCCCTCCCCCTCCCCCTCCCCCTCCCCCTGGGGTGTAAGTCAAGTTGGCTCGGTAAATTGCCCGACCTGTAGAGGCGTACAGGATTCTCCGTTGCGAGTCGATGGTCATGCTCTCGATTGGTCTACTGCCCGTCACTCCGGTGTAATTGAGGAAGCCGAGCTGCTGATGGGTCATCGAGCTTCCATTGGACTTGATGGAAAGTGCACGAATCGTATCTCCACCCTCCGCCACGTGCAATATTCTTGCCCGCCACGTGTCGCCGCTAGCGACCGCCCCTGCTGTTGTTCCTGTGCCTTCCAAGTCACCTTCTTCCAGCGCCATCGCCTGGAGGAAACGACTCAAGTTCCCCGCACTGGGAATCGGCCTCGCAAACAATGTCGCACTCGCCGTAGATCTATTCGTCGTCTGGTTGGTGCTCATCCGCCAGACCCCGTTGGCCAGTAGGATGAACAGGCTCTGATCCTGGGGAGATAAGGCCAAGGCCAAACTGCCATTATACATTGGCTGTTCGGTTGCGGAGATGTTGTCCGCATACTGCGCTCTGAGAGTTAAAACATTGGGTTCCAATATGCGTATTTCCGTAAACGTTTCAAGTTTGCGCCTTTTCCGATGCCCGGAAAGGTGGCACTCGCTGTCGACAGGTGCGCGGCTCGGCGCCGGACGCACAGACAAGTGCGCCATGCCACGTGGCAACCGCACTGGCTGCTGTGATAACGATGACGGTAATGACGAGGTGATCGCCAACTGCAACAGCGCAAATAGAAACCTCCTGATGACCCTTGAAGAGGCAAAAGCCGCCATGGCTGGCTATGGCGGCCTGGCTATGGCGGACGTCACCTGCTTGGAGCAGTGGTCAGGATAAACCTTCGGCACCGCGTGCGCCCTCGTCCTCCGCGTGCCGTTTGCGCTCAGATGCTCGTCATCTTCTGCGGATCATCTTTCGTCTATGGAAAGCCCATAACTTTTTCCCTTAACAGTGGGGTGCAAGTCACTTACATGAAGTAATCTGTAAGATCCCGAACCGTGAAAACTACGCCAAATCACACACCATTTCCCTACCCTCTCTTCCTCCTTTCAGCAGCACCTACGTTTGCTCGGCACGTTCAGACTTTCCTGTGCAACGCCGGTACATCGTACTTTGCCTGCTCGGAGTTTCTTCCACATCGCGGCCCATATCTCCGCCCGCAGTGCGCACCGTACAGTCCCCCCCCTGAAATGGGCGGACCCGACCCACCCTACCCACCCTACCCACCCTACCTACAGTCTTCCCTCGAATATAACGTACGGTCATTATAGCTGAATCTGGGTTAACTTTCAGTCTGAATACAGCTATAATGACCGGACGTTGTATTCGGGGGAAGAAGGTAGCCTTCCCGTTCCTCTCCGAAACCGACTCCACACCAAAGTTCAGGAGTTTCAAATCTATTGCCCAACAATCTGTTCACGTGGCGGTGGCCGCTTTGCGATAATCGCATGCAAAAAAAATTGGTAAACACGGTGTACATCCGTACGTACGTAGACATCTCCATTCGGATTAGAGAGATAACAAACCCATTCACACTCACGAAGGCTTTGCCATTTGACACGCGGAGTGACTAGACGAATCGAGATAAAAAAAGGTAAATAAATAACGTATAAACAATACTTAAAAAGAAGATAGTATCCACCCAAAATAGCTAAAAGCTCGACTTCGCGGTCACTCAGCTCGCCACTTCAAGAAACTTCTACTGCAGGGAAAGAAAAGCCAGCACCCATCAGCTAATTACCACTCGTGACTCCTCGCACGTAATCACCAACTCACCAACTCGCCAACCAATCTCCGGTTGGTTCCTCATGTCAGCTGTGGCGCGACCAAACTCACCGATCTATCGATGAACGAATCTCCGGTTGGTTCCTCATGTCTGCTGTGGCGCGACCAAGCTCACCAACTCGCCAACCAATCTCCGGCTGGTTCCTCATGTCTGCTGGTCATTGAGTGATCAAAGTAAGTGCAGTTGATTGGAATGACCAGTCTGCTGTGGGGCGACCAAGCTCACCGATCTATCGATGAACGAATCTGTGGCATAGATTAGATTGGCAAGGAGTGACAGACGGGAGTTATCAATCAATCAATCAACCAACCAACCCATGAATCAATCAATTCTACAGAGACTCAATCAAACATTCTGGTGGAAATCTGCATCGCGCACACCAAGCTGTTTGCCGTCGTCCAATAATTCAACAATCATCTACGAAAGCGGCTCGTAAAAGTGGTACTTCGCTCCAACAGAAAGACGAACGGTTCTAGCGACAGCAGCGGTACGCACAATTTGAAAGTCCAATCATCTGTACGGACCTGTTACTGACTTGCCTTCTTGAATCTTTTCGACGTGCTTGGTTTTGTTGCCTCGCTTGTTCGCTCGCTCGCTTGCAATGCCTATGAAAAGCATCATCAGAGCCTGCGCTCTTCCCTCCGCCTCTCCCCCCACGCCCCCCCTCCTTCGACTCCTCCTTTTCCCCGTTCACTCTCTCTCTCTCTCTCCCCGTTCACTCTCTCTCTCTCTCTCTCTCTCTCTCTCTCTCTCTCTCTCTCTCTCTCTGTGTGTGTGTGTGTGTGTGATGATGTTGTGTTTAGTGCACGCACAACCCGTTCTCTCTCTCTCTCTCTCTCTCTCTCTCTCTCACACACACACACACACACACACAATCTGCACGATTTTTTCTGATGATGTTGTGTTTAGTACACGCACAACCCGTTGACAAACACGTGTGTTTAGCGAATGCACAAACCGCTCACAAACACGAGCACGTGCGCGCAGCTACACACGTGCGGACACATACCCGCAGCGGCTCGTTTGTTTTCTTGTTGTTTTGTTCTTTATTTTTTTCTTTTCTTGTTTTTTTCTTTTTTCTCCCGAAATTGCACTTTTATTAACAGGGCGCAGTGCCCAAGGCAATTACATAATGAAGATGCTCAAGGTTGTCCTGCCCCACCAGGAGCCCGGAGCCCCATCCCTGCATACACAGTCTCGGCACTCCTTATCCTAGCGCGGCACCAGCCCTGCTACGAAAACAATCTCTATTCACACGTACTATTCTCACCTACAACCAAACCACGTACCACACCCTACACACACAAAATAAAAACTACCAATTCCAGATAACCGGAATTCCCAATCTACACACTCCTTACCCTAACAGGGCACCAACCCTACTACAAAAGCAATCTCAGTTTAACTACCAATTCCACATAATCGGACCAAAATTCCCATTGAACACTAACAAAAACACACAACACATCATTTCATGGCACTAAGCACAACCTGTCCAGAGAACCGAAGTCTCTCCCACACAACTCCCAACACAAGGCTGTCATGGGTATCTAAGTATTTCCACGTCATTACCCCACTGCGAACCAAACGCCGGCAACAGAACAGATTAGGGTCGCCCACCTATCTTAATTTCAATGTGTTCGTAGTTCAACCCAGCATCGTAGAAAATACCGCCCGCACACCCCATCTCCAGCCAAGCATCGAACTAAACGGCACCGACAGAGGGAAGTAGGGTTGCTCACCTATAAAATGAGAAGCCATATTGTTTGAGCAAGGTATATCTAACCAAACGCCACCATCGACCCAAGAACAGGCAAGTCAATGCCCAAATACCCAGGAGCCATGGAAAGGACACACAGCGGCACACATCGAAAAAGGAAATCGTACACCCAAAGACTAAAATGGGATAAGGGAAATCCTATGAAGCACTGTGTACCGCGCAGAGCGCGGAGGCGCAGCCTGGAGGGGGGAGGGGAACAGAGAGCCCTAGACAAA